CCGCTGGGGGTTGAACCGTTCGCTGTATTTTCACAGTGCGACATCCACGAACACCTCTTAGCCACGATGAGGCGGTAAACAAGGATAGACAAACTTAGTAAAGGCTACAATTAAACAAGTTGCTAAATGAACAGAGATGTGAGACTCAGTTGTTACAACGACGATATGGGCAACCATCGCTACGATGTCTCTAATATCGCCGACATGTGTTTCAGAAGGTGAGTTTCCTGGTCTAACATGTGTGATAGGAATGAAGTGATTAATTGCTGCTAATCATCCATTGTCCGGAGCAGCAACCTGTGGACATGAAAGTCTTGTTGACCTGGTGGTTGACCATGCACACTGCCAGTGATCTGAATAAAAATGAATTTATATCACATGTAGCTTAGTGAATATACCGAAAAATGTACGAACTTACTGTCACGACTCAAGTGCGTTTTGCCAGGTTCAGAACTTCAATTGCAGTGCTTGGTTTCCTCCATTAATGGCTTAGTAGATGAGAGCACGAGCCCCTAGTAAAGTGAAAAATGCGATATAATCCAGAGATTTCTAGTTTGCATATTCCTTACAGTGGCTTTTAGAATTTTTGAGAAGTTTTTTTTCATCATTAATGGGCTTATTCTGCTGGGCGCATGTGGCAGCAGTGGTCAGAGGTGCTCTGCGTCGCACATGAGGTCAATGGTTCGATCTCGCGCTCATGGCTCACCAAGCCAATCATCCCTTCGGGTACCGGTAAATTGGTACCAGACAGGTCTCAGACTTGCCTGGGAGGATAAGCAGCACTGACTTGGTTTAGCGGGAGGCCACCGCGAGTCATTGTAAAGGCCAGATATGCATCCAATCACCTCAAACGAAGTTAAAAATTGGAGTTGAATGCATGGCGCGTCCCTCAGGAATTGCTCAACGCTGAGAGCTTTATCCTTCATCCTTTATTCTTGCTACTTCATCGACGTGGTGCCGTGGCCAAATGGTTGTGATGCGGCGTCGCGCGTGGATTCACGTCTTCACCTTACACGACTCTCCGGCAGCCATAGAGTTACACCCTACTGAAGGCCACAGACAAGCTATCTTCGTGATTGCAAGGCGACACGCTCAACCAGTAAGTATTCCGTGACGTTCAAGATGAAAAGAAAGATGAATGGTTGAAGTACCAAGATGTGCGCATAAAAAAAAATACTGTGGAGACAGTACAAACAAAAGTGTCAATTAAAGTACTTGATCAACAAACATTCCTGCGAATTTTATGCGAAAAAAAAAAAGTTTGAGAAAACCAATTTGTTATACCTATAAATGACGTTTTCACTGTGCAGCTGTCGATTAAAAGAAAATTTCCCAATAGTTTTGTTATTGTATAATTAAAGGCTGATTCAAGCTTGAGCGATCGGACTTGAGCATGTTGCCATTGCCATGGAAGGCTAAGAGAGCGAGGAGCAGCATCTTTCTCGTCGTTAGTGGGCCTACATTGAAGGACATACGACAACAAGGCGATATATTATTCAGACAATTGAATGGAAGCATTCAAATACGCGAGCGAAATACCCACACTATTCTTGAAATCGTGACTTTGCCCATGCCTTTATAGAATTTGGAGACGAATCAAAGCAATTAAAATTTCTGTCAAGCTCCAGAATCGCGCTTGATTATGCTCTAGTTTTTATTTCGTGTTTTCGTTCATATGGAATGCTGAGAATTGCTCAGAAATATCTCGGTTATTGGTGTCATGATGGGATAGTAATGCGAACATTGCGAATTGAACATATACCGGAGCTTGATAACAAAACTTGTTGGAACTTCATATCGGTTGACAACCGAATTTTTGAAGTTTACAAGACTGCGATGTAGATGAAAGAATTCCTTATTCAAGTACTGTGAATAACTTATAATCATCGGTTGTTGAAATAGTGGAGAAATTACATCGATCGATAAAACATATTACGATAGAAACACATCTATGGAGATGTCAATCTCTTCTGGGAAAACATCATGTTCACATCGTTTCAAAGGTAACATGAATAATATTTAAATGTTAGGAAACTGTTCTTTGGCGCAGGCTTGACGAAATTTGGTTTATGTATGTTATGAGGAGTGCAAAAATCATCGCCGTCTGAAGATTTAAATAAAAACTATTGTAGAAGATTTCGAAACACAGTTTTCCCACGCTTGTCAAGCTGTTCTAATGGTCATCATTTAAATATGAACCATTCCAATGATATGATAACATGTTCTGAGCTTTTTATGAGGTCTGGTAATGCACATATATCAGTACTAGACAGGCGTGTTCCGCCTTTGCAAACTCATGAGTAGCAAGGTGTCTTTCGCTTCGGCCAATCACTTGCAGGGTGATATACTTCTACCTATAAAAATCGACGCCGAATCATTTATATCACCGCATACAGAGTGACAAAATCTTACGACATTGAAGTGAATTGCAGTCGAGCGATTAAGGCTAATAAAATGAAGTTACCCTTCACTTTCAACTGTTCATTTATAGATTGCCGCAAAAAAACAATAACAATCTGATAATTTGATAATATAATTTTTGCGCAGTTACATAGTTGCACAGTTTCAGTCATTCACGTTTGCACTGTTATATTTCGTTAACCTAATTTCCTCCTCGAAATACGTAATACTTCGAATTTGTTCGGCTTTTAAAGATTAGCTCGTCCCTGTCAAATTACTATACAGAAACACTGACAGCAAATTTCAACACGATGGCACGTCATGGGTGGTAACATGTTCCCACCAAAAATCGTCTGGATGGTCTTTAAATTGCATATTTTGGCACTCTGCAAGAAGAAGAGAATTGATTAGGACACTACGGCCGTGAAAAACATGAACGTGTGATTTGATGTAATGTTATGGTATGTAGACTTGAACATTTTCGAATGGAGTGATTCTTGAAGTTTCCACCACTAAATGTCGTAAGTATTGGTGGTACTGAAACTATAGACGCCTTCCATATCAAAAACTCCATCTCAATGAAGAAGTTCCATGAAAACTTTAGTCATCGACCAGATCTCTATCCTATAGCTTTCAAACTACTCTATAATCGAACTTTATGTTGGTTAAAAGTGTGAGATGAAACCTGACATGGAATACCGTTTGAGAACGAGAAAATGATGGATGACATAATGTTGGAATGAATGGTTGTGTTTCTTTTTGCCGGTCGTAAGGTCGACTCATGTGTGTTGTGCAGAATTCTACTCGTGCCAGTCCATCTGCGTGACAATGTCAGCGACAAATAGCAACACATTTTGCATAGGAAGAGTAAGCTTTTCTAAACCTCATTGGAGAAAGATTCCAGTTGTGCGTCATATCCAGTGCATGAGAAATCACCTCTCAGAACCTTCATATCAAGTCTCACAAGAGAAAAATGTGTTCAATCGCACTATAGACGAAGTAACCACTCCGCTCACTCACTGCCTTCTTTTGGTTCGCCCTGAATTTTCCGCGTGTAGAGCAAGTACAATGCGCACATAGATTGATCATACACTTCGTTCACTAAAATAAAACTCTTATTGATTTTGTCACAACACGCGTATCAATGAAGCTTTCCTAGGTGATTGCTATTGTGCTGTTCACAGGAAACAAACTGATGCTTGAAGTTGCTAAGCGATCAATCTGAATACGTCGAATTCTTCTGAGGAAAGCCGAAGGATAACTGGCTGTCATTTTCAATCGTTCAAGCCAACCAGCCGAAAACATCTACATTAACAAGTGGCAGCGAAAGCTTAATGACAAAAACGCAATGGTCCATTGACTCTCCTCTCAAACATCACACACCAAACGCACTCTTGTGAGAAGGAGCTTGGACAGCTGTCAGTGTGCACTCAGGAATAGGGTAGAAAAAGTAGCTCTTAACTCGGCGCGGCAGAAATCTACTTCTGTGGCCACAAACCGAGAACAAACAAGGCCACTCAAGCGATGTTTTCAGCAAAAGTAAGGTCAGTTTTGAAGAACTAAAGTTTCTTTTATCCTGCCTTTTGTGTCGAACGAAGCTCCTTGCAAAGCGTGCGGGAACAAACAAATTTTCTACGCTGGTGAGACACTCAGCGTCGCTTAGAAAAAAGTTCTACATTGCAATGTTTAAACTAAATCGAATATCCTATCAGCTGAGTATATATGGTGGAGCTATAACAAATGATTTCGATTGAAAGTCATTCTCGCCCACGATTCATAAGACTGTCAAAACACTCTGAATAATTTCCAAATCCAAATCTGGATCGCAGGTAAATGTATCTCGTTATCACTTATAATGTAATATAATAAAAAAACTAATACGCTCTGAGAAACGTGCATTGGCAGTCTGTGTGAACCCTGCGCGATTGGTCTTCAGGTGGATAACTCGGTGGAAGAGTCAGAAAAAGTCAGTGTGTGGAGAACTTGCTTTGCTTTCATTGTGACTAAGAGCGATTTTTTGCTGATTATGAAGGCACAAGGAGCGCATGTGGCCCAATGGTTAGAGGCTCCTGCATTTTGCACAAGTTCGATATTTCAATCACGCGCTCAAGGCTCACCCAAACCTTCCATGCTTCGGGGTCGGTGAACTGGTTCCAGACTTGTCTGAATGAACAGCAGCGCTGATTCGGCACAACTATAGGCCTTCGCAAGTCATTGTAAAAATCCGATATATCTTTGCAGACGGTGCCATTTTCGGCTAGCGCGCGGCTCGGACGGCCGTGAAGAGAGGTTGCCGGTGCCTGTTCTAAGGCTGTGGTAGTTCTACAATGAAATTTACACTTTTTTCTTCTCCAAATAGGATTTTTGTAGCAGTAAATGGTTAAATATGATAAAAGAGAGTTCAATAAGGTGATTTTTGTCAGAAATGATGTAATTGCTCCACATATATTTCACATTTTCAAAGAAACAAAAACCAAAAATCAAGAATTTGTAGTATATTTTGAACCTTTATCGAACAGAATTTATTTTATTTGATTGCCACTTGCGGTGTTATGATGTCACAGTATACCCAATAGTGTAGAGTGGTGTGCAAAAACGTTTGTACCAGCTGGAATTCGAACCCAGATTTCACTCCTTCCGGGAGCGCGTGCTGGACCGTTGCACCATCGACGCTCGTTTCGCACATTACTCTTCCTACGCTACAACTCGTTCTCAGTCAACAGCCAACAGTCTACGGTCTAGCGTGGGAAGCCTTTATCGAACATTTCTACAGTATTCAATTTTTATTTACAATCCAATCAAATTTATCTCTTATTTCTCTCATTTGTTTACATACTTTATTGCATAATACAGTAATTCATCACACTGGTCGGGAAACAATAAGTAGTTTCTCAAAAATAGTGCTGCTTATTGTATGCGATCCCACTGCATCAAACTTCTTCTATACTTTTTTCAATAACAATTTACTTGAGATTCCCATTTCCCGGACCAGTGCGTAATTTCGTTTCAATTTTTATCCTTAGTTGTGGTATGGGAAGAAGAGATAGAGATGTAACGATCCCGTCACATTACCTCCACCCTCTTTGATCCCGTTGGTAAAAATTAATTTTTTTTGTAAATTGTTTTAATAGTCATTCGATAGCTAAAATCAAGTAAATTTGAAGGAAGTATGTTATTCTTTGAGTGGCCTGTTTTCTTCGCTGCTTCGCTGTAGCAATTGAAAGAATATTTTGTTTCACATTCAAGTATTTCTCGCCGGATAAGGGTTTTTTCATAAGCACTCAAAAATCATTAGATAGGGCAAATCTTAGCAAAATCAACGATGTACTTTTTTTTGGAAACGAATTTTCGGAGTGCTGCAACAGTCAAACGAAGATTAGATTTCGCAAATTTGGATCATTTTCGATGGACACATCCTGTTTTGACCTCATGGGAAGAGCGCTCTATCTAATTTTTTTCAAAGTTACAACAGCCATTGATAGCTCAAATCTCGAAAATTTGATGGTTTGCTTCATTTTTAAGTGACCTTCTTGATACACTCTAACTGCACAAATATAATATGTTTTACATTAAAGATTTCTCTCCCAACAAAGTTTTTCGCTAGACTTTCAATATTTTTTAGACAGCTTAAATCTTAACCATTTCCACAAAACTTTGTTTCTGAAAATAACTCGTTATTGCACTGTAGCAGCCAAAAGAAGATTACGCTTTGCGTTGATATGTTGCTGAGGACACGGTGACTTGGCGACAATGTCGCGACATTCCACCCTTTGTGGTGCGAAACCCAGTCTTCTTTTGACTGTCAGAGCTCTCGTAAGAGACCCTCCAAAAATAGACTGCATCTCTGTAATTGTTGAGATTTGGACTATCGAATGTTTATTAACTGTTTATGGAACAAACCTTATCTAGCGAGAAATCCTCAGATGTGAAACAAAATTTTATTTCAACTGCTAAGGCGCAAAAAACAAGCCATTCGAGAACAAAATGTATCATTCAAACTCGCTTGATTTCAGCTATCAAGTAAATGCTGTTAATCTAGTGTTTTAGATCTTTTGTAGAAAAAACCAAAGACTCAAAAGCCCAATCCTTGAAATAGAGTTGTGTGCGAGAGAAGTTATTTTAAGAGTAAGGATTTGCGATAGTTGTGCGTTATTCTCTTCATAAATACGTTCGGAAAAGCTTCTTTACTGATAATTTGAATTATTTTTAGCGCAGGTGTCTACAAGAATCGAAATCTAGCTATATGATTCCAATAAATCCGCTTTCAATTGGAAAAATTGGATTGCGGTTGCAAAACGCCATTTCTTATTTTTCATTAGAACGGACTGCGGATTTATTTTCATACTATAAGCTTAATATTAGAGTCAAATTTCTCAAGCTATCTACTGACTACAAAAACATCTTGAAGATAGAGAAAATGCCCAACGATAACTGGTAATCTTATCCTTTTCTCAAGTACATAGTTTTTCCTTTCGATAAAGGCAGTAATAGAGTTAATCTTGCCTAAATCATTCATGCAGGAGTCTTATCAGTGATATTTCATGGTTTTTTGATGATCACCTCAAACGAAGCTTAAAATTGAAGCCGAATGCATAGCACATCCCTCAGTGATTGATCAACTTCGAGAGCTTCATTCTTTAGCTCTATGGAGGCACTTGGATGAGCATGCTGCAGTCAACCTGACCAGTTCAGGCTTCGAAGGACGAGAGTGTCGAAAGTTAACTTGTGCGAAGAAGTATGGAAAAATTTGTGCTTACTCAACAAGAAAAAATTGATATCGAGCAATGACGAAGAGGAGAGAGTCTATCACGGGAATCACGCAGACATGATCTCAGTTGTCGTGTAATATCGATGCGTAATATTTCCTTATTACAATCGTTGATATTTCTCTGAAATTGTACATGATTTTGATGGAGTAACATAATGAAGGTGTCGATCGTAGCTAACTGCGCCATTAATCACGTGTGGTTTGTTAATCCGATCATTGACTCAAATTTAACCTTACTGGAGCTTCACTGCTGTCTATTAATGTAGAAATTTCAAATGCTTTGCTCTTAATTTATTTTCCTCATGCCAAATTTCCTGTTTTGCTTAGTCTGTTACTCATAACTTTGCACAGCATCGTATGCTTTCCTTACCACTTAGAGCATTCTTTTCAAGCATATGTCTTGTTTTGAGCCGATAGGTCTAGTGTAATATAGGCTCCTGTTTTGTCCTATTGGGACTCATCAGTACCACCCTCCCTCGCTCCGTCGATCCCTTGAGGCTGAATAATCTTCCAAAGCAATCGAGCCGAGTAAAAATAAACATCTCAAGTCGGATGATGGTATAGCACTAGACCTGTCGGCTCAAAACAAGTCATATCCTTATCAAAATAAATTGTGTTGAGCGGATCTATAAAAGAGCGGTCATCAGCAGATGTATGTTTTCGTTTTAATCCGATAATTTTTAACATGTTTTGAGCTGTTAGGTCTAATGGTATACAGGAGCTAAAGAAAGAAATCACTCCAATTCAGATAATATAGTTATCTGACATTGACAACTGTGAAAAAGCGGTCGATAGAAGAGGTATGATTCATTATAACAGCGACATGCTCGGCTGCAGGTCACCACAATGTCAGGTAACCACATCATTTGACTTGGGGTGATTTTTTACTCGGTGTCGATTCTCCTTTACTGAGGATTATTCAACTTCAAGGGATCGGCTGAACCGAGGAGGGTGGCACTGATGAGTCCCAGCATGACGAAACAGGCGCCTGTATACCACTACATTTAGCAGGTCAGAGCATGTTATGTCTTTCTCAGATTATATCATTTTGAGCAAGTCTATAAAAAGCAGTCGATAGGAGAGGTAAAATTCACTGTAACAGCTTTCTTTTTACATATAAGGATTATTTTCTGACCAGACATTTTGTTTCACCTTTGCAATTGCGAAATTTTTGAGCTAAAAGAATCACTGCATCGGTAAGTTTGCTTCTCGGTGTGAAAAAAATTAGCGCTATACTTGAGACTATGAATAAAAATTATGTTCTATGGGTTCTAAATTATCATAAAGAGAAAGTTAACGAGTGGTTATCGAAGCAAATTATCAGAAAGCAAGGTGTTGGATCGACTTTCTCCCTTGTCACTCTCTTGTAATCACCTGAAAAAGGAATATCTGGCTGTTCTCATGAGTTAAGAAAAGCTCGACTCGACCAGGATTCTTCGGAATTCATGAAGAAGTCGATATGCAGTAGTCGGGAAAATAGGCGAAATGTTCAAGAACTTTGATGAATGTGACGAAAGAAAATGATGATTGAAGTGATGGGAGCCGCACAGTAAGGTGTGATGAGGGGTCATGTAAAAGGACTTTCATCACTCCAGCAAAACTGTTTTTTCATTTCACATTCATTTCTATTACAACAGAGGAAGTGTTCATTACATTGAATCAGCGGAGTTTCTGTCAGGTTAGAAGACCTTTACAGTGCTTAATTAGAAAAGAATCGATCAATCACTATTTTCTACTTGTCTGAAAAACTATTCAGAAAACCAGCGTGAAACTGTCCACACTTGGACTGAAATTGTTGCCAAGCAGCGCAAGGTAAGGTGTAAAGAGAAACATCATTTTGCATAGATAGATTTGATCATAGAGAAAGCTTCATCTTTTAATCTAACTTGTCCCCATCTTTTCAACTTATTTGCAAAACAGCATGAGCTCTGTAATGCGCAAAATAATGGAGGGTTCAAAATGTCAGTGCTATAGAGCGTAGGAGAGTTCTGCCGACATCATGTTGATGTCGAGGTTTTTTTTTTGTTCTTTTGGTGGACAAATTTAGAACGATCTAATTACTTCACAAGCAACGCGACTGTCAGAATTCCCTGCTATTTGACTCACCGGTGAATTACCACGTTCTAGATCGTCTACATCGGTATGAATGACAAGACGATAGCTCGTTCAACCACACTGTAAGAGCAATTTAGCTCAATCCTGGAGAACATGGTAGAGAATATCGTGACGTTACTATGCTAAAAGTAGGCGAGAATTTCTCAATTACATGAGGCAAATGTATGATTTCAGAGATACAACACACTGAACTCTACACTAATTTTTCTGTGGTACTCATTCCACCTACCATTTTTACTTAAGAACTGTTCAGAATTCGGCAAAGGTCTGAGTGCGATGCGCGAGATGTCGGATTAGAAACGATTCTGAACAAAAGGGAGTGCTGGAAATCAACAAATATCTTCACTTGTTCGAGCCACATTATTCGAGCGTTTCGTTTGATCATTATTTGAAATAGAGAAGTTCTTGGAATAGATGAGGAAAAATATCCAGAGTAATTGTAATTGCAAAATTTTTTAAAACTTTTTTTACATGATCAGTCATCACAACTTCTTTATCGTGAGGATCCCAGTACTTCCAGCAGTCGATTTGCTTTCTTTCTTCTTCTTGAATACTGGTCGAGCATGTATCCTTGCAATTCGAGGATCGCCTGGCTGTGGCGATCCATAAGGCGTTACTGTTGATTGTCGGAGAGTGATGGGAGTGGAGCTCAGTTCGCGCGGCAACGAACATCACATCCACTCGGCCACAACGCCTCAGTTACAGTATAAATGTTTGAAAGAAGCCAGCCATTCCAAGTTTAAAAAGAGAGAGGGTTTGAAAAATTAGAACATCTAAAACAATCCATGGA